GTCCCACTTATATTATTGTGAAATATAGTTTGTAGTTATTGTGGCCTCCTCCCTCTTTTTTTTTTTTTGGTGCCTCAAGGATGTCAGCACACTTCCAAAAACAGTGGCTGGCAGTTGCTTCTGAAACAAGCAGCGGTGCGCTGATTTTACGTTTAGTTTCTAAAAACCTGACCCTCTGCATGAAAACTACATGGATTCCTCCAAATACTAGTCATCTACAAAGACTATGTCATTCCCTAAACTACTTTTCACCATAACATTTGAAAAGATGTGAGTAGTGGGAGATATACCAATATCTAAGTTCAGTGTGGCCATTCTGAGAGGTAATCATAATCACCTATAACAAAGGTAGGCAATTATTTTTGACTGGGGGCCAATTCAGAAATTTTTGAAGTAGCCCTGGGCCACCCCAGTAGGGATGGAGCCTCAGGCAGAAGGGGTGGGGCCAGGATACTGCCGTGCTTGCCCAACCACAGACTCTAATTGCCCCTGGCAGTGGGAGGAGACTTCATGTGTTTCCCCCCTGCTTCCTCCAGGTCAATCAGGGCCTGGGGAGGGGGCGTATGTGAAGTCTCTTGCTCCCTGCCCCCACCCTGCAAGGGAGCCCTGCACTTACAGTCAACCACCAGCTGAGCAGCAGCTGGCAGTTGACTAAGAGCTGAGCTCCTGGCAGGGCAGGAGGAGACTTTACGCGCTCCCCCCAAGCCCTGACTGGCCTGGGGGCAGGGGGAGCGTGTAGTGCTTAGAAGCACTGCACTCCTTGCAGGGTGGGAGGAGACTTCGCACACTTCCCTCACCCCCAGACCCTGATTGGCCTGGGGCAGGGCCTCTACAGGATGGATCTGGCCCTGGGAGGTCCTTTTGCCCAGCCCGACCTATAATCTAAGCAAAATTTCAAACCTGGAATCCAATTTTTTTCAGCCATTAAGGATAGCCAATAACTTTATTTATTATTAGTGGAGCAATTTAAATTTCTCCATAGATGAAACCAAATTTTTTTTACCAAAAATTAAATTTACCAATTATAACAATTATTTGTCTGCACATTAGTTCCATTGACACTGAAGTCATACCTCAAATGTTCAATTGCTCGTAAGCTAAGGATGAGCCTGGATTCACACTAAGTATGCTCCGTTTTTCAAAATGTATGCAAATACACCACAATTGTTTAGATTTTCATTTTAAATGGATTTAGGTAAAAGATGCAAGTAACAGATTAGCCACAAACCTATTCACTTGCTCTTTTACACAAACTTCTTACTAAGACTGTCAAAGCACCTCTTGTGTTTCTTCATAATTGATGTGATGTCCTGATGACATCTCTACATTACTAAGCATGACTCTTAAACAACCAGTTAAGAGAGAGACTTCCTCAAGAGAAGCCATGCCAGGTTCTACTTAAAGCCCAGGGCATGCTAGGTAAAGGCTTTGGGAGTTTAGTCAATACTGTGGGACACTATCAGTAATCAATATCAAACCTTAGTGCCTTTATATAAATAACTCCCCAATAACCTGGGACATAAAAGAATATTAGGCAACACATTACAGTTAAGTTTGAGATGTGCACAACACGTGCAATTCTGCTACAGAGGTAAGACGACTCTGGTATAGTGTCTAGTTTCAGAAGCAAATCATGATGGCTTGCATGCACTATCATATTGACAGAATCCTAGTCAAGAAATGTATTGAAGTGTTTATACATACAGTCCTTGGGCTCTTCAAAAATCCAGTGCTGCAGAATCATTTGTCAGCCATATTGACATTTCATTCAGTTAGCCAAAACCCTGATTTGAAGACATGCTGCAAGAACCAACTGTTTTCCTAGGATTTTGTGGGGAAAGGAGGAAATAACTGAGAAAGAGAGAACTGAGAGAGAGACTGATTGTCTGGGCATCTTGCTTAGCCTGTGGTTTAAATTAAGCAACGTACCTGAAACATTGAATATGCATAATTACAAGAGAACATGCTTAAAGCAAAAAGTTAAAATGGACAGGTGATGGCAACAGTTTTGAAATACAGAAAACAAAGGATAACTATCTAAAAATTTGCTTACCAAAATAAGAGACGTCAAAGGCATAATACTATAGAGTAGGGATATTTGGATCAGGGATGTGCCAAAATACAGTCAATTTCCTGAACTAGTCCCTGTCCTTTTACCAGCTGACAAATCAAACACCACTGATGATACCTCCCCCCCACCCCAGCAAAAGAAAAGTATCAATCACATTTCTTGGATGCAACAAGCAGCCGTAATCATTGTGCTTACAACCAAATCTGACTGCACTAATTGTCAAACTTATATCAAAACCGTAAAGGTACTCCTAAGATTTTTTTTTTTAATTTCCTTAAACTTAAAGATCCAAGTAACATCAAAAAATAGTATGCACATGCAAGATACAGTACATCACAAACTTTCCAGTAGAGCACAAAAATAACATGCATCTCACACACGTAAAATTGGACATGATTTTTGTCTGAAGTGTCCACATATGACTTTTGAGAAGTGTCTGACTGATATGAATACTTAAATTGTCTGTACAGCACAGGCATCATCATAATATCCTCACACCCCTTTCTGAAAAAGTGCTGCAACCATGAATATGACCACACCTCCAAAGAGAGGGTAGTGCAAGTTCCATGCCCAAATCTCTTCTATAATCTGAAGAGATTAAGATGCCAGTTACTGCTACCTGTAAGTGGCAGCGTTTGTGATACACATATTTGAACAGCAAGAACTGGACACAGATTTACAGCTGGCCAAACTAGAAGTTGTAACATTGCTTATTGCAGGTGATAATACTCATCACTTGCTTCTTTTCTGAAGATAAGAATTTGAGAGGCAACTTAAAATACAAAATGATCTAACTTAAAAAGTAAATCTTTCTATTTACTACTAAAATACCAGCTATGCTACAACGCAGGGTTTCTTTTACGACTAACTGGTAACAGTTAGTATACATGTGATACTTTAAAAGATAACACCTTAAATATACATATTTTAAAATTTGAAATTTTAACTAAAATAATCACAAATTTATAATTCTGACCAGACCTTATAAAGTGTATTATTTAAGTAGTAAACACTTAAACAACACACATACTTGTATATGCATACAGCAACACCACACACATACCCAAAGCTATTGTGTTGCTTACCACAATATTTAATTCCTTTACTTAGGTACTTCCTCTCAGAACTTAAGAACGTCTACACTATATTCTATATAATGGGTCTTACACCTGGATTTTTGGCATCAAAATATTTCTCAGCATAAGCCTATGAAGTCAGTAAATTCTTCTCTTTACCAAGCAGAAGGTGAATAATTGTAAAAAAAAGCTCTTGTATAACTAAATGGAACTTCAACAGTTAAGAAAATGCTGAAAAGAAACTTTCAATCTTTGGGTTTAACTTGGTACAAAAACTCCTCTCTAAGCAAGAACTATTTGAAAGACATCAAACTCATCAAAGTACTATCACAATAGGTGAATTAAATAAAATCCATTTTCCAAAATATGATCTCTTGAGCAGTTATATTATATTCAAACTGCCTTGCAATTTCTTTTAAAAAACGACTGCATTTAGGATCCTGAGGATATGAAAGTGGTGCCTTTAAAAAAAAAATCCACTCCTTTAGAAGTTTTGCAAAACCATATTCAAGGCATCCATTGCATGTGTCCTTTAAAGTAAGCAATTAAAATAAATAACACTTCTAACAACCTGAACTGTTTTCTACTTCTCAAAAGTTATCTACAATTTGTACAAGACCACACAGCTATTTTACTAAGTATAATAAATTCACACAGGCAATCTATTTTTCTCCAAAATACCAAATGCATGTCAAATACTTAGACTGCAAGAATGTTTGCTGCCTAAAGGTTAATTCAGCAAGAAAATTTAAATTTATACATGGGCCAAAATACATCCCTGAATCAGGACCCTTAAAGGCAAGATTAAACTGTACCTGAGTGAAAGTGAGTCCTAAACAAAAAAAGTGGTGCAAATTGAGATTCACTCAAAAATACGATGCACCTTCAAAAACGCTTATAATAAACTAAATATGGGGAAAGTGCAGGGTTTCAAAACTCGTAAGAAGCCCAGATTTTTGTTATTGATGTAAAAAGAACAAACTGAAAATCCAAATGTCAAATTGAGCCTTAAATAAATAAACCCCATAAATAATCCAAGTTTAAAGTTTGCAACATTTTAAGATAAATGGTGTTTTTAAATGCACATGTTCTGAAGACTCAAACCTACCACACATTTAATTTCTATTTTCACCTCTTGCAGTTCAATGTTTGTGGGTGGGTGTGTTTTTAACACACACCAGGAGCTAAAACTAGGTGTAAACCAGTGCAATGAAACACTGTGAATTTTCCCCCAAACTACAACAATGCAATCTCCATTTTGAACAATGCACCTCCTTTCCCATCTAGTAAATATAGTTTTGTTCTAAAAAAAAAAAACTAGACCCTGTTCTAAAAAAACTAGACACTGTATCTTCAAGGCACACTTGCAAATCCAGTTTAATTTTGGAGAACACCTCATGGTGTATGCACTTCCCTTTCTTGTGTCTGCAAGAACTTGATGTTACAGGCATCCTTGTCTGTATGTATTTGCAAGAACCTCATTAGTATGTATACATCTTTTCCTTTACAAAAGTACCAGTGGATGCACGACATACAATTCATTTGCCACTGTTTGTGAACACTTTCTGGTGTAGCATGCGTCTAGATAGTTGCAAGCCCTCTCTCTGTGGGTCTGATAGCATCTCTGAGTACACATATTATTTCTCTTTCCATGTGCGAGTTTATAAGCACCTTCTGATTCGCAAGGCATCTGTGTGGTTGCCAGCACTGCTCGATTTGCATGCCTCTCTTCCCCTGTGTCTGCTTCCAGGCATCCCTTATTATTGTTTGCCTTTCCCCTCCCCTGCGAAAGCTAGAGGGAGCATGTGGGGTGCCCTCCCCTTCTTTCACAGTGCAGCCCATTGACGCTATACCTGGGGTGCTGCTGTAGGTGCTGTGGCTCCTGAAGCTGCTCTCAGTGCAATAGCTGGCATCATCTTCATCCTCCATCTCCTCGGGGTAATCGGAGTCGTCGTCGTCCTCCTCCTCCTCCATGATCTCCTCCTCCTCTTCCTCCTGCTCCTCAGAGTCCTGGTTATCCTCGGGGTCTCCCTCCTCTTCCTCTTCGGACACCGCGCTCTCATCCTCCTCTTCGCTCTCATGATCGTCGTGCTCTCAGTGCAATAGCTGGCATCATCTTCATCCTCCATCTCCTCGGGGTAATCGGAGTCGTCGTCGTCCTCCTCCTCCTCCATGATCTCCTCCTCCTCTTCCTCCTGCTCCTCAGAGTCCTGGTTATCCTCGGGGTCTCCCTCCTCTTCCTCTTCGGACACCGCGCTCTCATCCTCCTCTTCGCTCTCATGATCGTCGTACACC